ATTCTTTTCTTTTTCCCTTTTCTTGTCTGAATAGGATGCTGCATAGGATATGTCTTCAAGTTCAGATATCCTTCCTTATGCTCAGTCTTGTTGTTGAGGCTTTCAACTATATATTTTTTTTTTACTTCTTGAGTTCTTCATTTCCAAATTTTCTGTTTGGTTCTTTTTCAAGATCCCTGCTTCATTGCTGAATTTATTATGCTATTCAAATTATGCATTGTTTTCTAATTTCATCAAACTATTTGTTAATTGTATATTTGCTTGTGTCTCTGAGTATCTTTGTAATCATTCTTTTGAAATCTTTTCAAAAATTATTTATTTATATAAGCAGCAGAGACACAGAGATAGAGTGCTCCAATTCACTGGCTCATCCCCAAATGCCTACAACAAATTCACTTGCCTGGTATATCTTTTCCCAGCTCTTCATGTTCAGTCTATGTGTATGTTTACTTGTGAAGTGAGTTTCTTGTTGGCAACATATAGTGGGATCTTATTTTTTTAATCCATTCAGCCAACCTAAATCTTTTGCTGGAGAATTTAATCCATTTACACTGAAGGTTAGTATTGGTAGATACAAACTAAGACCTGTCATTTTGTTGACTGGATACCGAGTATAGCCTCTCTGTTGGTGAATTTAGTGGTGTCATGCATTTTCATGATGCATTAGAAGCAAATGCAGGATGCCCTTCAGAATTTCTTGTAAGGCTGCTCTGGTGGGGGGAAATTCTCTCAGTTTTTGCTTATCTGGAAACTACTTTATTTCTCCTTCACTTCTAAGATAGTTTCTCTCAAAATAATATTTTCGGTTGGATTTTTTTTCTTCTAACACTTTGAATATATCATTATACTCTCTTCTGGCTTGTAGGGTTTCTGCTGAAAAGTCTGAATTGGTTTTCCTTTACATGTAACTTGACATTTTTCTCTGTCTGTAGGATTCCCTCCTTGTCCTTAACTTTTGAAAAATTGACTAAAATACGCCTTGGAGAGATCTTTTTTGTTGACTCTGCTTAGGGTCCCTTGTGCTTTCAGTATCTGGATGTCCATGTCTTTTTTAAAATCTGGGGAACTTTTAACTATTCTTTCATTTAGCAGGTGCCCCAACATTTTTTTTTCCCTTCTCCTTCATGAATCTGTATGAGTATTTCCTCATTTGATGGTAGCCCAATTTCAAAGAGACTTTCATAATTTTTTCTTTACTTCTTTTGTCTGATTAGATTATTTCAAAATTCTTATCCTCCAGGTCAGAGATTCTTTCCTCCACTTGTTCTATTCTGTTGTTAAAGCTCTCAGTCATATTTTTTGTTTCCATGATTAAAGATTTCATGTCTGAAAGTGTTATTTGGTTCTTCTCAATGATTTCTCTCTCCTTAGTGAATTTTTCATTCATGTCACTCAGTGATTTCCTTGTTTTCTTAAGCTGTCTATTCTATTGCATTCTATCCTGTATTCTATTGTATCACATTGAATTTCCTAACAATCATTTTTTGAATTCTATTTCCAGCATTTAAGAGGTTTCATTCAGATCAGGATCTAATTCTGGGGAACTACTGTGCTCTTTTGGAAGTGTCATGCTGCCTTGCTTTTTCACGCTTCCTGTGTCCCTACATTGGCATCTGTGCATCTGGTGTAATAATCTCTTCTTTGTGGAGTAGGTTTTTTTTGTTTGTTTGTTTGTTTGTTTGTTTGTTTTTGACAGGCAGAGTGGACAGTGAGAGAGAGAGACAGAGAGAAAGGTCTTCCTTTGCCGTTGGTTCACCCTCCAATGGCCGCCGCGGCCGGCGCGCCGCGCTGATCTGATGGCAGGAGCCAGGAGCCAGGTGCTTTTCCTGGTCTCCCATGGGGTGCAGGGCCCAAGCACCTGGGCCATCCTCCACTGCACTCCCTGGCCACAGCAGAGGGTTGGCCTGGAAGAGGGGCAACCGGGACAGAATCCGGCGCCCCGACCAGGACTAGAACCCAGTGTGCCGGCGCCGCTAGGTTTTTTTTTTTTTTTTTTTTTGACAGGCAGAGTTAGACAGTGAGAGACAGAGAGAAAGGTCTTCCTTCCATTGGTTCACCCCACAAATGGCCATTTCGGCCGGCGCGCTGTGCCGATCCGAAGCCAGGAACCAGGTGCTTTCTCCTGGTCTCCCATGCAGGTGCAGGGCCCAAGCACTTGGGCCATCCTCCACTGCACTCCCGGGCCACAGCAGAGAGCTGGACTGGAAGAGGAACAACCGGGACAGAATCCGGCGCCCCGACCGGGACTAGAACCCAGGAGGATTAGCCTAGTGAGCTGCGGTGCTGGCCAAGGAGTAGGTTTTATTGGGAAAGTTTATGATTTAGATGGAATGCAAGCTATCACTTGGTTTGTTGCTTTGGTTTTGATTCAAGGTGAACCTAGAAATGTAGCCTCTGAGTGATTTATTGTGCTTCAATGTCAGCTGCATCTATAAGTGACACAGTGGTCTAGTCTGCTGCAATTGTTAGGAGGAGAGAGTAGCTTTGAGGTGAATATGGGCTTCCTAGGACGTGTATATTCAGTCCCCAGAAAAATTGGTGTCAGTTAAATTGGAAATTTTGATAGTTATGGCCTTATTCTTGGTGCTTAGGGAGACAAAGGGGCTGTCTCCTAGTCCTACTGACAAGCCTAGATGATGCTGGAGCTTGTGGCACCAACACCTGTGGCTCCTAGGACTGTGTGATGTGGATGGGCCTTTCCTGATGGGGGGTTCAACTGGTGCTGGAGCTTGTAGCATCAGCATCCCCAGTCCTAGTACCGGAGGATGTAAACTGAACCTTGATCCAGTTCTACAGGGTGACTGCAAGGTATACAGGAGATTCTGCTCTGGCAGATACGGGTCCAGAGAGGTGCAATGCAGGCAGGCAGGTTATTCCCTGTGATTCACTGATTGGGTTCTAGTGGGTCTGAGGAAATTCATACTGATTGTTATAGTCCTGAATCATAGGGCACAGCGTCATCATTACCCGGATATTCCACAGTGGGAGCCAGATGTTAGGAATAGTGATAGTCACCAATCTGAAGCAAAGCAATACAGATGGAATATTCCAGATGCCATAAGTGAGTGCAAATTAATTAAAAAATTATAATGTGAACATCAACAGTCCTGGTTCCTCAAGGCAGAGATGAAACTCCTCCAAGTTCTCACAAAGCAGAAAGAGGTACTGCAGAGTTTGTGCTCTTGGCTCCCAGCACCATGATCTAGGAAGTGTGGAGGAAACTTCTCCAGGTCAGATCAGGATTTTTTATGGACTGCTACTGGTGCTAGCTCCAAGAAGCTGAAGGGAACCCCCTGGATCCCTTAGAATGAATGCAGGGATTATGCTCAAAATTCCCAGTTTCAGGATGCAGGGGGTCTGTTCTCCACCCCACAAGTTGCCCTGACTCTGGCTCTGGTCACTTCTGGTAGCAGAACAAAGATCAGCTACACAACTCTGCATGGCTGAGTCTGGCATTCTGTGGGGGTGGGGGAGAGGAGGGAGGCAATATGGCTTCCCTCCTTGGATCCAAGCAGTTTCTCAGAGCTTGCTTTGAGCTACTCCAGGTAGCCCCCAGTCTGTAGTTAAAGTCAGTGGGTGACTGTGGAATTCTCCCTCAGTTAAATCTGCTGGGGGAGGGGGAGTGTTGGCACACAACAACTTCTTCCTTCCTTGGACTTGGGAAGATGATAACTCCTAGCCAGCATCTGGCTGAGTCACGCGGTCAGCCTCAGCAGTGTGTTCTCTTTCATCACTGTCCCACAGAGTCTTTGTTGTTTTGTCACTTTTCTGCTGAAAAAAAATCTGTCACTTCTGTGCCCTAGAAATGTAGTCCTTCCTGTTCTCATTTTTTTTAAAGATGTATTTATTTACTTGAAAGGCTGAGAGAGAGAGAGAGAGAGAGAGAGAGAGGAAAAATAAAAGAAAGAAAAAGGAAGAAAGGAAGAAAGGAAGAAAGGTAGGAAGGAAGGAAGGAAGGAAGGAAGGAAGGAAGGAAGGAAGGTAGGAAGGAAGGAAGGAAGGGTGGGTCTTCAATCTGCTGGTTCACTCCCCAGATGGCTGCAATAGTCAGTGCTGGGCCAGGCTGAAGAGTTTCATTCTGGTCTCCCACGTGGGTGCAGGGGCACAAACACGTGGGCTATCTTCTGATCCTTTTCTCAGGCCATTAGCAGGGAGCACCAGAACTGCAACCAGAGCCCACATGGGATACTGGTATTGCAGGCGGCAGCTTTACCACAAAGCTGGCCTGTTTTTGTTTTTGTTTTGTATCCTCCTATGGCTGAAGTCCGTGTGTTTCCCACTATTCAGTTGTCTTCTGGGTGTCTGTTTAATTGTGTTTTGTATAATCTTATTATCATTACAACTTCTTTTTTTGAGTTGGATAATTTTATTAGTGTTTTGCTTGAGTCATACATTTCAAACATTTTACATCAAATAACAATGAATAATTCATAAGTTTCAGTTACTGTTCCAAGTATATCATGTGAAAAAACATCCTACAACAAAGCTCTGTGTTGTGAAGAGGATAGTGAAGTCTAGGAAGATGAAGTGGTTTGGCCAAGGTCACACACATGAGCAGTGGGGAAACCACAGTTCAAGCCTGGGCAGCCTGCCCCCAGCACCAGGGCTACTGACCACTGCACCAGGGCTACTGACCACTGCACCACACAGCTTGTGTTAGTTTCGTGTTGCTGCACTAACAGATGACCAGGGACACGACAGCTTAAAAGAACTCGTTTATTCTCTTACAGTTCTAAAATTTGGAAGATTGAAGTGGGCTTAATAATAAAACTGAAATTAAAAGTAATGTACTTTCCCTGGATCTGTGAGTCATTCTATAGAATAGTCAACAGTTAGGGAGGGTTATATTGCTCCCAGCATCTTTAACTTATTTGCATCTGCAAAATCCCTGTACAACTTTTTTTATTAATCTTTTGATGTTTCTGTGAAAATTTGGAAAATATTTATTTTTATTTTTGAGGTAACATACTTTTAATTTACATTATAGTCAAGGGCTTAATTCTCCACTAAGTAGAGTTCAACAAAGAAAAAAAAGACCATAATTGGAAATAAGTAGTATTTCTTATTTGAAAGATATCATTTGGATTTTCAAATGAATCACCAAGAAATGGCATCTGGGCTGATTGGAAATCAATATTCATTTATTTGTATTGACAGTGGAAAAGATAAGCTGATTACAAAGCTGCAGAGTTGAATATGTGTGACCTAATGTTAGTTGCTAAGGACTTTCCCATGGGTGCTTTTCTGAGTTTTATTTCAACCGAGGCTTAATGGGTTCTTGATAATCTGAAAAGATGACTGGCGTTGGAATCGGCAAGAGAATCCACCACAGTCTACAGCACTTCCATCTTCTCCGGCAGCCACCAATTTCATCTTCTGTTACTTTGCAGATGTCTCTCCTGCACGTGCCCGACAGATTGAGACAATGGCTCTCAGCAGCACCCAAACCGCTTCTCACTGCAGAAAAGAGTCAGCGAGATGTCGACCCATGAATGAAATGTAAACCTTTAACACTTTTAAGCAGGAGACTGGAATAATTCTGGTATGGGCATTTCTATGTGGCAAAAAGAAGCTGGACAAAGGAGCTGTCCAGCTGCTCCATCACTCTGACGCCATGTTCATTCTCTTTCTTCTTTACCCAACTGCTCAAGCACTAACAAACTCTTCCTTAATTTTCTTATAAAGTCTTGGCAAGTCTAATTTAGGCATCACAAAGAACTTTGGCGAGTATCAAACTGAAATAGCAAAGGTATGGGCAAATGATGTGTCCTAAATACAGTACATTCTTCATTCTTTATTCCTTTATATGGATTTGCAACAAGTGTCTACATCAGACGGTTTTCTTTGTACTTTGGTTAGAACAATGAAAAATGGCAGCAATGTTTTTTCAAGAGAAATTTATAGTCAGTGTAGAAATTGTTTTTTGACAGGCAGAGTTAAACAGTGAGAGAGAGAGAGACAGAGAGAAAGGTCTTCCTTCCGTTGGTTCACCCCCCAAATGGTCGCCACAGCCAGCATGCTGCGCCGATCTAAGGCCAGGAGCCAGGTGCTTCCTCCTGGTCTCCCATGCGGGTGCAGGGCCCAAGCACTTGGTCCATCCTCCACTGCCCTCCCGGGCCATAGCAGAGAGTGAGACTGGAAGAGGAGCAACTGGGACAGAACTGCGCCCCAACTGGAACTAGAAGCCGGATGCCGGCGGTGCAGGTGGAGGATTAGCCTAGTGAGCCGCTGTGCCGGCCAGTGTAGAAATTTGATAATACAAAAATAGACTGAGAAGTCAGAATGTGTAAAGTGCTTAGAACAAAATAATACAATAAGAGGCCAGATAAGGCCTGGCATTGATAACATGGATGGAAAAATGTTATGGGAAAGTAGTCTTTGGATTAATATCTAAATGGTGAGAATGAAAAAGATAAGCAAACGTTTCAGTGAAAGCACTTTAGTCATATAGAATAGCAAGAGCAGGTTCCCTTGTTTAGTTTATTTGAAGAACAGATAAGAGACCTGTGCTGATAGAGCATACTGGAGAAGGAATACTTTTTTTTTAATGAGGTAAGGTAAAACACAGGATCAAGGTAATGTATAGCATGTAGATGATGGTAATCTTGCATATTCATAATCTAATGTGGCAGTTACCCTGATTCAGCCCCCTTAGTGATCATATGGCTAATTATTCTTTTAGAATGTTTACTGTTTGACTTTTTTCATCTCCTTCTTTTTCCCTCTCCATTTAGATAGGGATAAAGTGATGGCTTCCTTAAAAAACATCATGTAGTTATTTGGTTGTGGTGCTGTCTGCCCTAAGCTAAAAATTATTTTTCAAAAGTTGTTTATTTAATTGACAAGGAAACAATTTTTATACATTTATGGTGTTCATCATGTTTTCAACGTAGTTATATTTGTGGAATGACTAAATCAAGCTAACATATGTGAATTTTTCACATATTTTTCTTTTTTTAGTAATGGTAACACTTAAAATATATTCTCATAATTTTTAAATATGCAATACTTTAATTACTTTTGCTTGGATTTCATTTATTATAATTTCATCCATGTTGCTGCTAATGACAGAATTTTCTTCTTTTTAAGGGTGATATAGTATTTTATATACCATATTTTCCCTATCCATTCATCCATTGATGAATATGTTGGTTGCTTCCATACCTTGGCTATTTTGAACCATGCTGCAGTGAACGTGAGAGTGCTGAGTATTCATAGATCTTTGACATCCTAATATCATCTCCTTTGAATATATACTCAGAAATGGGATTTCTGAGTTATAAGAATTTTTGCAGAAACATTAAACTTTTCAAGGATATTTTAAGCTGTTTTTCTTAAGGTTGACACTAATTTATATTCCCACAGACACTATTTTAGCGTTCCCATTTCTCCTTGCCAACATTTATTATCTTTGTCTATTTGATAATGATCATTCTAACAGGTGTGAGAAAGATTTCATTGTCACTTTAATTTGAATTTCCCTTATGATTATCTAGTGACATTGAATTTGTTCACACACCTTTTGGCCATTTGTATGTCTTCTTTTAGGAAATGCCTGTTGAGATCCTTTGGCCATTTTAAATTAGGTTGTTTTCTTACTAGTAAGTTGTGTGAGTTTCTCATTTTTTTAATAAACCACTCAAGAAATTATTTTACTTTTATTTGAAATAAAAGCACATCAAAAGCAGGGCGATTACTAGAAGAGACAAAAGTAAAGCAAATATATAAATATGAAGACCAGACAACATAGGGGTAGACAAACCTCATATCCCCCCTTGATTTTAGGTATTTATATTTTTCCTAAAGCACAGAACCTTAATTTTTAAAAAAAAAAATTTTTTGAGATGCAAAAATACTGTGGCGATGTGTGTGTTCCCACTCACTGGTTCACTCCTCAAATACCCACCATAGCCTGTAGTCAAAGCCAGAAGCCAGAAACTCAGTCCAGGTCACTTGTACATTTTTGGTATTAATTTCTTAGCAGATGAATGGTTCCTTAACATTTTCACCTAATCTGTAGGCTGCTTCTTCACTTTGTTGATTGTTTCATTTTCCTATTCAAAAGCATTTTCACTTGATGGAATCTCATCAGTCTTTTCTTGCTTTGGTTGTTTGTGATTTTGGAGTCATAATAAAAAAAAAATTACTGCCCAGGCCAATGAAATGGAGTTTTTCTCCTATACTTTTTGCTAGACGTTTCACAGAGTCAGATCTTACACTGAAGCCCATAACCCATTTTGCTTTCTTTTTTGTGTAGACAGAAGGAGTCCAGATTCATTTTCTTCATGTGGACATTCTATTTTCTCAAAATCATTTATTGAAGAAATGGTTTGTTCTTCCCCATTATGTGTTCTTGGCATCTTTGTTGAAAATAAATTGACCATATATGCACAGATCCATTTGTAAGTTTTCATTCTGTTTCATTACTTGCTGTGTGTGCTTTTATGTCAGTACCATGCTGTTCTGATTACAACAGCTTTGTAGTAGATTATGAAAAGAGGCAGCATAATTCCTCTTGTTGTGTTCTTTTTCCTCAAGATTGCTTTGTATATTAGGGCTCTTTTGTGGCTACATATGAACTTTAGGAATTTTTTTCTAATTCTGTGAAAAATGTCATTGAGATTTTTATAGGGATTGCATCGATTTATAGCTCATTTTGTGTGTGTGTTTGACTTTTTAAGATAATGTGTTTTTCTATTTATTTGTATCTTCTTCAATTTCTTTCATTGATATTTTATATTTTTCATGAACTAAATTCATTCCTGTGTACTTTTTTCCAAAGATTTATTTATTTATTTGAAAGTCAGAATTACACAGAGAGAGAAGGAAAGGCAAAGAAAGAGAGGTTTTCCATCTGCTGGTTCACTCCCCAATTGGCTACAACAGCCAGAACTGCTCCCATCCAAAGCCAGGAGCCAGGAGCTTCCTCCGGGTCTTCCCATGTAGGTGCAGGGGCCCAAGGACTTGGGCCAATATCAAGTGCTCTCCCAGGCTATAGCAGAGAGCTGGATCAGAAGTGGAGCAGCTGGTTCTTGAACCGGTGCACATACGGGATGCCAGCACTGCAGGCAAGCTTTACCTGCTAAGCCACAGCACCAGCCCTGACCTGAGTATTTTTTGTACCTATCGTAAATAAGATTATTCTCTGGGGCTGTTTTAAAAATAGATCAATTAGTATCAGAAAAAGCTACTTATTTTTGTATGTTAATTTTGTATCTTGCAGTTCCACTGAATTATTTTTAAGTTCAAATCATTTTTGGGGTTTGGGTTTTATATGTATAATATTATGCAACCTTCAAATAGAGATAATTTTTTTGTTTGTTTTGGATGGCTTTTTTTTTCTTTATCTTATTGATTGCTCTGTTCAAGACATATACAATTAAGTTAAATAGAAGCGGTAATAGTGAATATTTTGGTCTTGCTCCTGATCATGTATGTAAAGATTTCACCTTTTCACCATTTAGTGTGATATTAACTTGACAGATAGAATCTTCACTGCATTAATATTCCTATATGCCTCATTTATTTAGTTTTTTTTTTTCATGATAGACTCTTCAATTTTGTCAATGCTATTTAGGTATCTACTGAGATTGTCACGTGCCTTTTTCCCATCATTCTGTAATTACAGTATATCACATTTATTGATTTGAATGTGTTGAACCATCTCTGGGTAAATCCCACTTGAACACAGTGAATGGTCCATTCAGTGTGCTACTGATTCTGGTTTACTAGCTTTCTGTTGAGGTCTTCTGTCATTGTTTACCAGGGATATTGGCCTATATTTTCTTTTCTTGTAGTGTCCTTCTCTGGCTTTGATATCCATTTTTTTGGAGAACTTTAAAAGGATGATTATTGGGAGCTGGGGCTGTGGTGTAACTGGTAAAGCCGCTGCCTGCAGTGCCTGCATCCCATATGGGTGCTGGTTCAAGTCCCAGATGTTGCACTTCCAATCCAGCTCTATGCTATGGTCTGGGAAAGCAGTAGAAAATGGCCTGGGAAAGCAGTAGAAAATGGCCCAGGTTCTTGGGCCCCTGCACCCACGTGGGAGACCCAGAAGAAGCTCCAGTCTCCAGGCTTTGGATCAGCTCAGCTCTAGCCATTGAGGCCATTTGGGGAGTGAACCAGACCTCTCTCTCTCTCTTTCTGTCTCTCTGCCTCTCTGTAACTCTGCCTTTCAAATAAATAAATAAATCTTTCAAAAAATGGTTGATTATTGTTTCTTCTTTAAATGTTCAGTGGAATTCAATAGGGAAGCTGTGAAGTGCTAGGTGTTTCTTTGATGCAATATTTTTTATTATTCAATTTCCTTATTGATTTTAGGTCTTTTAATATATTGTTTTTTCCCTTCTGATTTAATCTTGGTAATTTTTATGCCTCTAGGAATTCATCCATTTCTTTTGGATTTCCCATTTGTTGGCATATTATTGCTAATTGTCTCTTATTGTCTTCTTTATTTCTATAGTACCATAGTAATGTCTTATTTCTTGTTTGTTTTTCTCTTTTTAACTTGATTAGACTACTTAAAGTTTTTCCCATTGTGTCTTCTCATAAAAATCAACTTTGGTTGACTTTTTGTATTGTTTTTCTAGTCTCTTTCATTTCTCTTTTGTTCTTTGTTATTTCTTTCTTCTACAAATTATGGATGTACTTTGTCCTTCTTTTCCTAACTGAGTTGTAACAACAGGTTTAATTTGGGATCTTTCTTCTTCTATTTGATATAGGCCTTTGTTGCTCTGAATGTTCCATGTAGAACTACTTTTAATACATCTTGTAAGTATTAGTATGCTGCATTTATGCATTTCTATCTTTGTTTATTTCAACATATTTTAACCAACCTTTTAATTTCTCAGTAGCATATTAATTTCCACATATTTCTGAATAATTCCTCTTGTTTTTTATTTCTAATTTTATACCATCATGGTTGGAAAAGTCAACTCATAATCTGTCTTTTTAAATGTGCTCAAACTTCTGTTGTTGCCTAGCAAATGATGTATCCTGCAAAATGTCGATGTGCCCTTGATAACAATTTATATTCTGCTACTGTCAGAGGTGCCTTGGATAGTAGCATTCTCATTTTCTACCTTAGGATAGTGGCAGGTTAAAGATAAGGATGAGTTCACTATCAAGCTTTCAGGTAGGTAAGAGACTGAGTAAAGTTAATGCAATAAACAACATATTTAAGCCTCAAGGCCAAGAGGGATTGAGATTGTCAATGTGGAGAAATAACTGAATATCATTTGTTTAAAGAAACAAAAGCTTCTATCACAATGCTATAATGAAGACCAAAAGAAAAAAATCTATATGATAGAATTTATAGGCAGGTCTAAAGGATATAAACAAAAATAAATTTTAATAGAAAATTTAGTGTATTATGAAAATTAGACCAGGTGATAGTAGCATCAGTGAATGAAAAGACACGTTTAAATAATTATGTGGAAGGTAACACTGAGACCAAAGTTCTAACATTATTTCTATTATTTTCTATTTAACTAATGGACATTAGTTAAACTGTAAACATTAAAAATAAATACCAGATAATAAGACTATTTTAAAAAGACAATTTATAAAGAAATAATAATTAAGTTGGCAGTGTCAACAAAAATGAAATTCCAAAATGAGTAGACTAGAAGTGGATATTGTGGCACAGAGGGTTCAGTTGTCTATTGTGATGCCCATATCCCATCATTGGAGTGTCTGGGATCTACTCCCACCTCCATTTCGGATCCAGCTACACACAAATGCACCTGGCAGGTAGTAAATGATGACTCTAGTACTTGGGCCCCTGACAGCCCATGGGAAACCTGGATGGAATTCCTGGCTGCTGGCTTCAGCCATTCTCAGTACTGGCTTTTACATGCATTTGGAGGAGTGATTCAGCCCATAAGAGGTTTTTCGGTCTCTCTCTCTCTCCCTCTCTCCTTTCAAGTAAATAACTAAATCTTTAAAAATAGGAATGGATTAGTGTCATCAAGTGCTGAGAAACAGCAACACTGAATGGAGTGCCCAGTAATGCTGCCTTTAATGTCTAAAGATAATATTAAGAATTTAACAGATACCAACTGCAATGGTTTACTACCAGGAGATCTATAACATAGAAGGGTCTAAAGTCTGTATAGAAGGAAGAAGGAATTTAATGCAAAAGATGAGCTTAGATCAAGTTGAAATCAGATGTCATTAAACTTATGGTAATGACAATACCTGCCTCATATGGGTTTCTCAAAAGTACACAAGTGAATTGCTACTGCTATACAGTAGCAATACAGAAATACAGAAAGTTACTAAAGAAAGCTCACCTGTTCTGACAAGAGAACAAGTTGAATAATCTATAGATATAGAGATATATCTATATAGATAATCTATAGATATAGTTTCTTTTAGAAGGATTCTAATTAACTAAATCCAAAATGATAGGACCCACCTGAAAGGAAGGAGATCCACTGATATTCTCCTGTGGCCATGAGTAGAATCAGAGAAAGGAAGCTGCCTTTGATGGTGATGAGAAGGAAACTGCTGACCTCAATGTTTAAAGGCCACGTGTGGGCCTCTGTGATAGTTCAACATCACCAGAGTCTCAGACCCGCTTAGATCCACACTCTCCTTCATGACTTTCTACTGAATATTCACAGGAAAGACTGGGTGCAGAGTCAGAGAGCTACATGGGACCCCCCATTGGCAGACAGCATGCAGGGGCTGCTGCCATCTGAGGGCAAACTAGAGAGACACGGGGATATCATTGTGGTTACCAGGCAGTAGCCTTTGCCACGGGGGAAGATTCAGCGGGGCTGAGAGAATCTCCACTTCCTTCAGTCAGAGGCGCCCAAGCACAGAGGCCTACCGAGGTCACAGGGCAGGGCAGCTGACAGAGGCTCTTCAGACACTGAGTATGGGCCAGCTGCTACCTGAGGCTGCGCAAGGGGCAGGAGCCCCTTAAAGGACCCCTTGAGAGGCAGGGGAGGAAGCTGAGAGTACGGGGTACAGGGTACAGGGCACAGGAACACTAAGAGAACTCCACAACACTAGCCATGACACTCTGATGAGGGAAAGTGTGCATACAGGTCTGTGAGGAAACATCACGAGTTCAGTTTCAGATATATTACTTTTGAAATTAAAAGCCCAAGTAGAGATACCAGTTGTGCCACCGAACAATCCCTTAGATCTGGAGTTCAGAGGAGAGGTCCAAGAGGCGAATTTGAAGGGACAGATCTGGCTGCAAACCCGAAGGAGTAGATGCAGAGAGAGAGAGGAGAAGAGAAGTGGGAACTACGCCCTATACAGAAGAGGAAGAAATACAGGGAGGGGAGGAGCTTATCGTCAGGGAGAATTACTGACAGTTAAGAAAATGCCATATGAAGCCGAGCGAGGAAAGTATATTGTGACAAACCGAGTGACCATTTGTGTTCAATGACGATAACTGGCGAGGTAAGGTTGCAGGGGAAATGACCACTGGATCCAGCAACACGGGGATTATTGGTGACTTTGACAAAAGCAGTTTCAATGGCAGAATGAATGAATAGATTTCTTCAAGAATGAAAGGAAAGGAATTGGAGAGTTATTGTAAGGCATTCTGCTACATAATGGAGCAAAAGAAGGGGGTGACAGTGGGCATCAGAGGAAAAGAAAGAAAATGATTTTGTTCTTAAGATCAGAGAAACAACAGTGCATTGTATTATGATGGTAATAATCCAGTAGAAATAAAAATGATTAACAGTGAACTGCAGCAGCAAGTTCCTAAGTACACAAGACAGGATGGGATAAAGATAGTGCAGAAATTTTAATGTATATATTTTTTAATTTTCTTTAAATCTCTGGAACTTCTGCTGGAATGTCAACCTATTCTTTCCAAAGGATTCTAAGCATCGTCTTCTGGTCAGTGTCACCAGATCATGATAAAGTGATCTTTTAAAAAGTAACTTTTTACTTTATTGATTTTCACTATATTTGTTTTCTTTCTCATTTGTTTCTTTACTTTACATTTTGTATTTATCAATTCCTTCTTTTGCCCTTCTTTTAGGTTATTATTGCAGATTTTTCTGAAGTCTCAAGTAACATTCTTAGGCCATTAAATTTTAGTCATTATTTTTCATATCCATATTATATGCTATCCATTACTGTGTAATGAGCCTATATTATACTGAGATGATCACATTTTTTGGCGACTTTACTTATTATTGCTTCTCTGATCTAAAGTCCCATTCTCTCTCCTCTCTAGTTCTCAGGTTCAATTTGCAAGTCATTTTTCATATACAACCACAGAAAATCATGATTTCTTTTGTAAAGTGTTATGTTGTTTGTTTATACTTTGACCAATATCATACAAAGGATAAGTTCTCTCCAGCGATAACTCCCTGTTGCCAAACAACTATTCTTTAACTTTTTACTTGTTTCAAATAATCCCCTTTTAATGTTTATCTCTTGTCATAAAGCACTTTCCTTGTGACACTTGCTTAGCATGAGCTCCTGTTAATGGGATTCTGTGAGTGAATATAATAGAATACAATTTGTATTCTGCTGCAATGCTCTCAGATGCAATTGTCTACAAACAAATTTCCATGCCTTACCAAGGCACACCAAGATGCGTAGTAATGATAAAGCAGATTGTGACTTCATTTAGCAGTCTGGTTAATGACACTGGAACATTCTTTTCCTATCTCTATCTATTATAACCCCAGTGAACCTGATGATATTACATACTGAACTCACAAGACTGAGTCCAAGATCTTGTCTAACCTGCCCAATAGCTTTCTAAACTATAGACTCCCGCATTTAGCCACCAACTTACCTGGCGGTAAGAGGGTCAAAAAGAGGATTAGAGTGGAGAGAAACAAATGAAGTTTCATGGCTGATGGGATTAATGAAGAGAAGAGGCATCCGCCTGGTTTGAGCAAGGCAAGTCTGAGGCCCTTTATGATGATACATGGTTCTGGAGTTGTCCTTGGTTAGTGGAGCCTAACAAAAAAGAGAATAAATTGGTCTCTCACAGGAAATCTCCAGGGACACAAAAGTACATAAATGTAGAGATAACTTAATGGATGAGAAAACAAGTTAATGGTGTGTGTTTCCCTAAGACTCAGGATGTCCTCGCTGTCAATGCTTTCTTCTATATTTTCTACTCACACTTGCATCTATCATAAATCATACTTCATATATCAATGTGTGTCAGGCAATGTAATAGGAACTGGGGGGGGGGTGTATCAAATAGTCCTCAATCATGTGATGGGAGATGAAATAGTTAATGGGTGTATGCAATAGTATATTATATGCAGAAGACACAATCATCCAAAACAGACAGTGGCTATTTCTACAGAGGGTAGGAGTGGGAAGGGGATACTGAGAATTTCAGGAAAGGCTACAAAAGACAGATTATGTAGGATGTTATTTAAAGGACTTTGATATTTCCTTGCACTGGGTTAAGAGGTATGGAAAGTTGTTCAGTGGGTATAAAATCACAACAAGATAAGTAAGTTCTAGAGATTTACTGTCAACATAGTGTCTATAGTTAACAATGAACTAGTGTGTTTTTAAAAATTTGTTAAGAGGGAAATATCATATTTGATGTTTTGAAAATAACATGAAAACAAGAAAAGCAACAATAAAGGGGTACTAGGAGACTTATGGAGGTGAGGTATATGTTCATTTTCAGGACCATGGTTATAGTAACACAAGTGTGTGTGTGTGTGTGTGTGTGTGTGTGTGTATCCAAACTCCCCAAATTATTTACATTAATTATGTATAGCTTTTTGTGCATCAATTATACCTCAATAAAGATGGAGAAAAATAATTTGGCTTTTTGTATATATCAACATAATAACATAGTTAAGTTGGAAACATATTCTTTTTTAGATATTGTGTTTTTAATAGATTTTTATTTTTAGAAATGTTTATATTTCTTTTTTTAAAATTTTATTTAAGGTATATGAATTTCATGTATTTAATAAATACAGATTCAGGAACATAATGATACTTTCCACCCTGCTCATTATCTGTGATAGATCATATATTATTCCACAACTCAAGTCTCAGTAAATTTAAAAAAATACTAAAGTCATATCATGTATTTTCTCAGATCACAAAGGAATAAAACTAGAAATCAATAAGAAAAACAATGGAATATTTACAAATTCATGGAAGTTAAACAACAATGCTACTAAAAGACCAGTGGTTCACTGAAGAAATTAAAAATAAAGTAAAATAAATGTCTTGAAACAAATGAAAACGAAATATCAAAACCTCTGGAATACAGTAAAGCAGTATTAAGAGGTAAGTTCAAGGACCAGCACTGTGGTGTAGCAGGTAAAGTCACTGCCTGCAGTGCTTGCATCCCATATGCTCACCAGCTCAAGTCCCAGCTATTCCAATTCCAATCCAGCTCCCTGCTAATGTGCCTGAGAAAGCAGTAGAGGATGGTCCTACTGTGTGAGCTCCTGCACCCATGTGGGAGACCCAGAAAAAGCTCCTGGCTCCTGGTTTCAGATCTGCCCAGCTCCGCCATTGCAGCCATTTGGGAAGTGAACCAGAGGATAGCAAGCCTCTCTCTCTCTCTCTCCTCTCTGCAACTTGGCCTTTCAAATAAATAAATAAATCTTTAAAAAAAAGAGGGAAGCAAAATACTTACATTTAAAAGAGAGAAAGATCTGAAGTAAATTATTTAATAATGCATCTCAAAACAGAACAAACTAAACCCTAAATTAGCAAAAGATGAGAAATAATAAAGATTGAGCGGAAATAAAAGAAATTAAAACTAAAAAATCAAAAAGACACAGATTGGCTGATTGGGTTAAGGAACAAAACCCATCTATTTGCTGCTTACAAGAAACACATCTTTCCAACAAAGATGCATACAGACTGAAAGTGAAAGGCTGGAAAAAGATATACCATGCCAACAGAAATGAAAAAAGAGCGGGCATAGCCATCTTAATATCAGAAAAAATAAACTTTAACACAAAAACTGTTGAGAGAGACAAAGAGGGGCACTATATAATGATTAAGGGATCAATTCAACAGGAACATATAACGATTATCAATATATATGCACCTAATTACAGGGCGCCAGTTTATTTAAAAGATTTGTTAAGGGACTTAAAGGGAGACTTAGACCCCAATACAATAGTACTGGGGGACTTCAATACTCCACTCTCAGAAATAGACAGATCAACCGGACAGAAGATCAACAAGGAGACAGTAGATTTAAATGACACTATAGCCCAAATGGATCTAACAGATATCTACAGAACTTTTCATCCTACACATAAAGAATTTACATTCTTCTCAGCAGTACATGGAACCTACTCTAAGATTGACCACATACTAGGCCATAAAGCAAGTCTCAGCAAATTAAAAGAATTAGAATCATATGATGCAGCTTCTCAGACCATAGAGGAATGAAGCTGGAAATTAGCAACTCAGGAATCCCTAGAGCATATGCAAACACATGGGGACTGAACAACATGCTCCTGAATGAACAATGGGTCATAGAAGTAATCAAAAGATAAATCAAAAACTTTCTGGAAGTAAATGAGGATAACAACACAACATATCAAAACTTATGGGATACAGCAAAAGCAGTGTTAAGAGGAAAGCTTATAGCCATAGGTGCCTACATCAATAAATTGGAAAGGCACCAAATAAATGAGCTTTCAATTCATCTCAAGGGTCTAAAAAACTTGCAGCAAACTAGACCCAAATCTAGTAGGAGAAGACAAATAATTAAAATCAGAGAAGATATCAACAGGAATAAATCAAAAACATTACAAAAAATCATCCAAACTAAGAGCTGGTTTTTTGAAAAAATAAACAAAATTGACACACCATTGGCCCAACTAACTAAAAAAGAAAAGACCCAAATCAATAAAATTAGAGATGAAAAAGGAAACGTAACAACAGACACCACAGAAATAAAAAGCATCATCAGAAATTACTACAAGGACTTGTATGCCAGTAAACAGGGAAACCTATCAGAAATGGATAGATTCCTGGACACATGCAATCTACCTAAATTGAACCAGGAAGACACAGAAAACCTAAACAGACCCATAACTGAGACAGAAATTGAAACAGTAATAAAGTCCCTCCCAACAAAGAAAAGCCCAGGACCAGATGGATTCACTGCTGAATTCTACCAGACATTTAAAAAAGAACTAACTCCAATTCTTCTCAAACTATTCAGAACAATTGAAAAAGAGGGATTCCTCCCAAATTCTTTTTATGAAGCCAGCATCACTTTAATTCCTAAGATGGAAAAAGATGCAGCATTGAAAGAGAATTACAGACCAATATCCCTGATGAACATAGATGCAAAAATCCTCAATAAAATTCTCGCCAATAGAATGCAACAACACATCAGAAAGATCATCCACCCAGAACAAGTGGGATTTATCCCTGGTATGCAGGGATGGTTCAATGTTTGCAAAACAATCAATGTGATACACCACATTAACAGACTGCAGAAGAAAAACCATATGATTATCTCAATAGATGCAGAGAAAGCATTTGATAAAATACAACACCCTTTCATGATGAAAACTCTAAGCAAACTGGGTATGGAAGAAACATTCCTCAATACAATCAAAGCAATTTATGAAAAACCCATGGCCAGCATCCTATTGGATGGGGAAAAGTTGGAAGCATTTCCACTGAGATCTGGTACCAGACAGGGATGCCCACTCTCACCACTGCTATTCTATATAGTTCTGGAAGTTTTAGCCAGAGCCATTAGGCAAGAAAAAGAAATTAAAGGGATACAAATTGGGAGGAAGAAGTCAAACTATCCTTCTTGCAGATGATATGATTCTTTATGTAGGGGATCCAAAGAACTCTACCAAGAGAGTATTGGAACTCATAGAAAAGTTTGGCAAAGTAGCGGGATATAAAATCAATGCACAAAAATCAACAGCCTTTGTATACACAGGCAATGCCACGGCTGGAATAAACTTAACCAAGGACGTTAAAGATCTCTACAATGAAAATTACAAAACCTTAAAGAAAGAAATAGAAGAGGATACCAAAAAATGGAAAAATCTTCCATGCTTATCATGCATTGGAAGAATCAATATCATCAAAATGTCCATTCTCCCCAAAGCAATTTATAGATGCAATGCAATACCAATGAAAATACCAAAGACATTCTTCTCAAACCTGGAAAAAATGATGCTGAAATTCATATGGAGGCACAGGAGACCTCGAATAGCTAAAGCAATTTTGTACAACAAAAACAAAGCCGGAGGCATCATAACGCCAGATTTCAGGACATACTACAGGGCAGTCATAATCAAAACAGCATGGTACTGGTACAGAAATAGATGGATAGACCAATGGAACAGAATAGAAACACCAGAAATCAATCCAAACATCTACAGCCAACTTATATTTGATTAAGGATCCAAAACCAATCCCTGGAGTAAGGACAGTCTATTCAATAAATGGTGCTGGGAAAATTGGATTTCCATGTGCAGAAGCATGAAGCAAGAACCCTACCTATCACCTTACACAAAAATCCACTCAACATGGATTAAAGACCTAAATCTACAACCTGACACCATCAAATTATTAGAGAGCATTGGAGAAACCCTGCAAGATATAGGAACCGGCAAAGATTTCTTGGAAAAGACCCCGGAAGTACAGGCAGTCAAAGCAAAAATTAACATTTGGGATTGCATCAAATTCAGAAGTTTCTGTACCTCAAAAGAAACAGGAAAGTGAAGAGGCAACCGACAGAACGGGAAAAAATATTTGCAAACTATGCAACAGATAAAGGGTTGATATCCAGAATCTACAAAGAAATCAAGAAACTCCACAACATCAAAACAAACAACCCACTTAAGAGATGGGCCAAGGACCTCAATAGACATTTTTCAAAAGAGGAAATCCAAATGGCCAACAGACACTTGAAAAAATGTTCAAGATCACTAGCAATCAGGGAAATGCAAATCAA